TAGAACTGTATCCTAAACTGCTTTATGGTATTGTAGCCAAACATTGCATTTCAATGGGGGATTCAACTTCCTTTATAGGAACTGAACAGACTCCTGAAACTCTACCACAAACGTAGTCCATGGACATGCAAATAATCCCATTATCTTCAATGGGATTGATCAAATGATTAAGGGTTTACAGGATTAGGTTCCAAGTTTGTAAATTATTCTGGGTGAAACTGACAATGCCTGAGCTGTCAGATCAGAAGGAGCTTCATTTGAATAAAGGTGGGCAGATCTGTGATAAGTCTTAGCTCCATTGCTAAGATGAGGAACATATTTTCTGCAAAGTTCTTGGCAGAATCCTGAGGCAGCTGGTTTAAGGCTGTCAGTGTCCGGCATTATAATCTTCACTTATAGTTCTCTCACTCACAAAGCTGGAAAATGAGGCATTTGTTTTCTTTATTTTGCTGCTCCAGTTCCAGTTAACAACATTCATATTAGACTAGTATGGCTGCAAAGAAGAATTCTATGTACACTGGGGACAACACTTGATTCCTGTCAGGATGCAGAACTGGGCTGACATCAGAATCCAAACATCCTCTGGTCAATGCAAGCATGATTTGGACTTGATCGGATGCAGTATGGATGTCATGGATAATTCAGACCAATGGGGAGAAACAGAATCAAAAACAAGTTTTAAACACCTTCCGCGTCTTCCCTCCCCCCCCTTCCCCTCTTGAAGACTCCTGACCATCTTAACAGCACAATACATATGCTAACAAACTTAAACAAAGCCTTTGTTTAAGTTTGTTAGCGTATGTATTGAGGTCCAGATACACGCCCTGATTGTGGGAGCCCTGGGCTCCTGGGACTCCCACAACAAGCCGGTACTGAGAGTGTGCGGAGTCGGTCGACACTACGCCCGGCTCATGAGACAGCTCATGGTGTCTGACACCATCAGGTGGTCCAGAGACATCTATACGGACACATCACGGGACACCGTTAATACCACGTTGAGTCATCGAGACCACCGACCAGGGAAATAACCCACTTCCTTCCCTGATAAACCAAGGGATGAACCCCACCCATGTACTTATCCGCTACACTGATACTAACTTGGACTCTTAATACATTTCATGGGTGGCGTACCCAAGCCCACTTATCCACTGATGCTTTAAAAACTCCTGCCCCCCAATCTGGGTCTATGCTGGTTATGTGATATGTATGTATCTCGTGATCCTTGTAACTGATACCTGTAATCCCTCATAACTCAAGCCTGACCCCAGATGTACAGTACCTTCCTTCTTAACTTGTGTATATTTAATTTTAAACATTAACTTTAATAAAAATTTTAATGCTGTTAAAGCCAGGTAAAGAATAAATGCCCTCCCTAGCCGTGTTCTGCTCCTTTAAGGAGCAGAGCGCAGCCCCTCCCCTCCCTCCGAGGGGGGGGGGGTAGCCCCTAGTCTTTCTGGTACCCTGTGCCCACTAAAAATCTCTTGCCGGTACTGTGTACTGGAGGGTACTGCCCTACTTGCACATATGGCAATTCAGTGTGCAGCAACCTGGAGTGTAAACCTGCGCAGTAGATCAAAGCTCACCAGGGAACTTTTAGCATGCAGCAAGCAGGACCCACGCTGCCAGTTAGTGAATAGCAGGCTAGTGGGCTGTAGTTTCACACCCCAGCTTGATGTGCACTAAATTGCCATATAGACAAGCCCTTAGTCTGACACCGCCCCACGCTGTGAAAACACTTCCCCCTCTTTCTGTCTCCCCACCACCTTGGTCTTTTCTGGCTGGCTAGTCCCGTTTCCTTCTGAACTCCATCACTCATGTTCCTTCCTGACCCTCAAATATCCCCTACCCGACTCCTCACCCCCCCCACCCCATTTTCCCCACCTCAGAGGCTGGATTAGAAACCAACAGTGGGAAATCTTGTCACAGCGAATCAGTGAGGATTTCTGACAGCAAGGAGGCAGGGTGGCATTCACTCCAGGCAAGCTATCCCTTGCTAACATCCTAGCCAACCCTGACAAACCTTTAGGAACAGCCCAGCTCTAATGGTATGTGTCTAACAATTAGCCAGTTTAAAGGTTAAAAGCTGACATACTGCCAAGCAATGAGACTAGCTCCGTACTCTAATTGAAGTAGGCAGATAGGAAGGATGTTGTGGTGGCATGAAGTAGAAGTCAGCTTCTAGCCCCAGCTCTGTCATGCATTTCCAGTGTAATGCTGGGATTTTTCAAAGGTGTTGATATCAGTAGGAGTTGCAGGTGCTCAGCACCTTTGAAAACCAGACCATTGACCAGTCTATTTCCTAGTTTCCCCATCTGCAAAATGAGGACAGTATTTCCCTACCTCAAAAGATCATTGTGATGCTTAATTCTTTATTCTTTGACGGACAGGTTCCACACAGATGTGTGCAGCGGGGAAATGGCTCTCAAAGCAAAGGACAATAGCTCTGAATGTTAGTAGGATCTTTCATTCAGTTTCCCTTCCCCCCGCCAATTAATTTGTAAAGCCCTTTTAACTACAAAAGCTAGCTGGGAACATGGCAGAGGTGCAGTCCCAGATCAGACAACAGGTTCAGCTAGTCTGGAATCCTGCCTGCCGAGATGGCCAGTGCCTGAGGCTCCCGCACCTAGGTGTTTGTGCAAAGGCTTTCTTGGTAGTGACAGGAGGAGATTCCCTTCCAACCCCTTCCTGTGATCAACCACCACCCTGGATCATGTGGCTTGGATGCTCTTGAAGTCTCCGGCTTGGCTCTCACACTTGCAAATGTTATAAAATGGGAGTTACCTGTGATACTCCCTACTAAGAGCCCTATATTCCTTTCCACTCTGATGAGCGAAGAAATGCCAACACGAGGGATCTGTCACTGGGACAGCCAGTTTTGGGGTTTGTTTCTCCATTCTACTTGATAGCTGGAACCCTGCCAAAATCAAGAGTCGGGGAGGGGGTCGGGATCTATCAGATTCTCTGCCCCCTTTCCAAATCTGCGAAGCAAACAGGAGCAAGCTACGGGCGCCAGTGTCTGTGTAATTTGCACATCTTCCCCCTCCACACTGTGGAATACCCTTCAGCAGTAATATGCAGTGTTGTTATGTTGGTTGGTCCCAAGATATTAGAGAGACAGACAGAGTGGGTGAGGTAAGACTTACCTCACCTGCTCTTGAGCAGTAATGTCAGGGGTGTGGCAAGTTACACACACAAGAGTGAGGTGTAAATATCACATGAGAGGGGAATGACAGTAGATTTAAAATCACGTGGGCTCATAGCTACACAAAGGTGGCATCATCATGTCGAGATATAATGTCCCAGGCTCAGGGTGGTGATTAGGGGTGGGGGAGGAGAATGGGGAGGTATAACGACATATGGAGGCAGATAATGACACAGGCATGACATAATGTCACATAAGGAATATAAGCAATAGTGGGGTTATACTGACACAGGGAAGGTGTGACACACAGAAACACGTGAGGTTGTATGTTGGCATATAGAGAACAGGCACAAGGAGGCTGTCTGAAGGATAGGGTTATAATGGTGCAGGTGGGTGATGGAATAAGCACAACAGCATGACTGGCCGGAGGGTAGGATGGAGTAGTTGGGGGGGTGTGGCAGGGTGAGTGGGGAGGGGGGTCTATGGAGGGGCGTATGGTGTGGGGAGGGGCGAATGGCAGGGTGAAAAGGGGAGGGCGGTAAGGGATGTACAGCAGGTGAGTGGCGTTGGGGTGTACCGTCGGCAGGGGAAGGGGGTATATGGGAGTATATGGCAGGGGGAGTGGGGCAGGGGTACAGGGTGTATGGAAGGTGAGAGGTCTGGGTGTACAGGGGGCTATGGCAGGGTAAGTGGGAATACGAGGGCTATGGCAGAGTGAGTTGGGAGGGGGGGTACACGGTGTCACACTAGGGTGTGGGGATGTATGGAAGCAGAGTGGCGTGGGGGTGCAGGGGTTGTACAGCAGGGTGAGTAAAGAGGGAGTAGGGGGTACAGAAGGTGAGGATGGAGGTGTAGGCGGGGTGAGGCGGTGCGGGGGGTACAGAAGGGGCGAGGGTATCGGGGTGCGTGTATGGAAGGTGCGTGGTGTGGGAGTACAGGGGGGTACACCAGGGTGAGAGGGGAGCAGGTACAGCAGGTGAGGGGTATGGAGGTGTACGGTAGGACGAACGGGGTGCGGGGGGTACCAAACGGGAGCGGGTATGGGAGTGTATGGAAGGTGAGCGGTGTGGGGGTATAGAGGTGTACAGCAGGGTGAGTGGTAAGAAGATACAGAAGGTGTAGAGAAGGTGAGTGGTGTAGGGAGGGATTCAGGGTGAGTGGGGAAGGGGTGCTGTATGCCATATATCTCTATGGGGTGACTGCTTGGGCTGTAGGAGACTGCAGGAGGCAGGAGCAGTAAAATCAAGGTGCCTTGGCAGGAGTCGGGGGAAAAAAAAGTACAGCCGAGCCAGCCAGGAGTCGAACCTAGAATCTTCTGATCCGTAGTCAGACGCGTTATCCATTGCGCCACTGGCCCTGCATATACTGAAGTATTCCGCGCTCGCTCTCTAACTACTCATTGACCCCGCCCCCACACACAGAGACCACTAATGGGTGGGAGTTCGGATCCAGGGGTGGGACTAAGAAGGGAATTGCAGCCAATCAAAGTTCCTCTGTGTCTCCGCCCATCGCCCGGCCCCTCTCCTCACTAGCTCCCTAGGGGGCGGAGCTACAACTCCACGCTTGGCCAATCCCTGGCCGTTTCGTCAAAACGTCTCACGCCCCTCTTCCCCCCACCCCAGCGGGAACCTTACAGTTCCGCTCTCTCCTGATCACTAGGGTGGCTCAGTGGGCGGGGTCGGAGCCGGAGACGCAGCCAATCACAGCAGCGCCAATCATTCCCTTCCGTGTCTGGAGCCCGGCCGCCGCAAGGTGTTTGGTTAGGTTTGTCCTGTGCGAGGCCCCGTCCTCAAGACCGAGACGCGTCAGGGTCAGAAAGACAAGAGAGTCCAGGACGCAGAACGGAGCTGAACCGGCAGCGGCGGGGCAGCCGGAGGGGGGCGATGGCGGCGACCGCGGGGGCCTATGAGAAGCTGAAGCTGTGAGTGACCCGGGGAAGCCACGCAGTCACCTGCCCCCCCCCCCATCTCCCCAGTTACCTGGAGCCGCCGGGCAGCGACTCCCCGCCCCGCCCTCCCCAGCGCCCGTTGGCCGCCTTCCTGCCCCCGGCGGCTTCATCCATCCTGCGCGGAGTGGGGTGACCCGCCCCCCGGCCGGGCGGAGGGAGCCGGACACGCGCAGAGGCGGCCGGGTGCGGTGCGGCCGAGTCCCAGCCTGTGCCCCCACCCTGCGGCCGGGCTGGCAGGACCGCCGGGCTGTGAGCTGCCCGGAGCAGGGGCACTGCGCTGCCTTCCTGCTTGTCCGCACAGGGGCCGGGGAGCTCTTAGCCCAGATGTCGTGCTGTGGGTGTATGCTCCTCCCCGGCCCCCTGGTGCACGGCCTGGCGATTGCGGGTCTCCGAGGCGTGGCTGCCCCGCTCTCTGAGCTGGGGGGAGAAAGGGAGACCACTGGCTTTTGTGGTTTTAAGGGGGATCCTTATGTCTCTTAACCCGGGGCTTGTTAAATCCTGGCACTTTCTGAATGAAGGAATTCAGCGGACACGCTCGTCCCTGCTTGGTGTCCTGTTTTGATCGGCTAATTAAACAGTTGACTTTTCATTTACCTGCCTTGTTACTTTTCAGGAAAGTTTTGGATCTGTAAACAGTGCCTGGTGCAAGGGAACAAGCCAAAGCTGCTACTTGATTGCCTGTTGGGTAACTACCTCAGTAAAGCAAGTAGTGATACCCAGGAGCCTTCTGGTGAATATATGAACACTAAAGTTTTGGAAATAGCTTTAGTGTTGCAATATTATTTGCCAACAGTAAGTTCCTTAGGCATCACTACCTGCTTTGTTGCACCGCTCTGTTGTCAGTTTGTCAAATGAAGTAAACAGCAGTAATTTCTGGTTTCTTTTTCAGTTTTGGGGCATGCATGTGTTTTTTTTGTTTGTTTTTGTTTTTAAGGAGCTTGAGGCATGATTTCCCCATAAAAACTTTTAACCTTCTGATTTGTTTACTTTTTTGTAATATAATGGGCAGAACAGAACCTCTTATGCTTTCATGTGCCAGATGACATTTAAATGCTTGTTTCATTCAGCCAATAAAATTACATTACAGACCCAATATTGAGAAAGACTAAGGAGGCATGTGTTAGAAGACCTTATTTTTGGCACTTGTAATTTCCTGGAAAAATTATACTTTATACTGAAACTTTTCATGCTTGGCCTAAACCCAAAGGTGAAGTGTGTGTGTGTTTTGGGCAGGGAAAGAGGGGAGGAAGGAAGGGGTAGGAAGCTCTGTATTCTTATAAAGGTATTTGAGGTATTTCACATGTTTGGAGAACAAAACATACCCTGTGCTGGGTATGAACTTCTTAAAATTAAACCACTTGTGTTGTCTTGTGGCGAAAACAGCATCCAAATGATATTTTAAGCCTCACTTTTGGACAATAATTAGTCAAACAAAATTTAACCAAAATTTCTGAAGCTAAAACAGTCTCCTTTTGGATCGAGAACAAATATAAGGAATTTTAGCCCACTGTTTAATTCTGTATATAATTATAATTATAGCATTTGACCTGTTTGTTCTGCTATGAGTATATTTATTGGCGAGAGAGCTGTTCTTGGGGGATTTGTTTAATCCCTGTTATAGATTTGTTGACTCTGGCACTTGTAGTCTGAGTTGTGATTAAATTCAATGCCAGGAACAGAAGAGAGTTTTCCTGAGGTGTCATTTTGTGAAAATTATAGTCCCTGATCCTACAAGCACTTACGAAAGTGAAGCCAATGGTACTACAGGCATATTTAAAGTGAATCAAACACAAGTATTTGCATAATCAATGTCATAGTGATCACTGAGTCTTAAAGACTGTTGAACAGAATACACTAGGAAGCAGGTATGTTTGCAGAGTGCCTCAAAGAAACTCTTTTTGATGTTGTGTAGTTAGTCTTAAATCCGCATCAAAGCTCTTAAATGAATGTTAGTCATGGGAAAATCATTTACTATTCAAAGAAGATGATTTGTTTTCTTCCTAAACTTGAGCAACATAAATTATACTGTATTTAACTTCTCAAAAGATTGCATACACACAACTAAACATTTTTGTATTATGTCATTCTGAGTTGTTATCCATTTTCAACTGGAACAGATAAAATATTTCCATGAAAATTACTGTTAACCTGCAGTTAACAACAATATTTAGAGTTCATTCTCTACTACAGGGATTTTAATCTAGTAGAAAGAAAGTCTGCATATATTCACTGTAGCAAGGTTTCATTGGATGGACCATTATTGATAAAATTTCCGATTCCAGTTATCAAAAACCAGTTTCACAAAATTCTAGTCGCTTGCTTGCTCACTCATCAAAAATGTACTTCAATTTGACAAACACTATATTTTCATTATTGTTATTACATTCATTGTGAGGGTGAATAAGCAGAATGATATGCCTGGAATGGTAAATCAGCTTTTATTATCATAGAAAAACAGTAACAAAACCACCTCCTTATGATCAAAGTCATTTTAATCCTGTGGAGGGAGGGCCTGGTCTGACCAGAAAGGAGTGTATTAAAAAAAAAAAAAAAAGCCGAACTTGTGTGTGGTGTGTGTTTTTTGTTTTTGTGTAGAGGTGGACAAATTGGTGACTTACAGCTGGCATAAACCATTAAATTAAGAAATTTTCTAGATGTTCCCAGAACTCTGCTTTGGTTAGAGGTGTGGGGCAAACAATTACACCTCTAGATTCAAGACTAAACGTTAACGGGAATGGATGCATGATGTTTCTAGCATAAGGCGGTGGCCAATATTCGTCGCTTTATTTAAAAAGAATGCTGAGCTAATGTGATCAATTTTTTATTAATTTTCATAAACAAAAAATACAGATGGTATTACAACTACATATAGCTAGTACGTTACCAAATATCACACATTTCACAGGATAGCCGATAAAATTATGCAATTATATAACTTTTCACTTGTCACAGCTGCAAGATCATACAATACAAAATCAATATTACACAGACATAACATGTTAAGGGGGGATAATAACAATAAAAAGACATTCAAATAGGCAAAAAAAAAAAAAAAGAGGAGGGGCAGGGGAAGAGGGAAAGGAAAAGAGAGGTCAAGTGGAATGCCGTTATTTGAGCTCTCTCAGCATTCTTTATCCAGGTGTATCAAGAAATAGAGACCCAATTTCTTTGAATTCTCATAATTGTTTTCTGCATTGATAAGCTATTCTTTCTTTGGCTGCTAACTCATACAGGTCTGAATACCACTGCTCTATTCTTGGCATAAGTCTACTCCTTTTTTGTAAAATCATGTGCTTGATGAACATTTACAGCCCTCAAGAACCAAAATATTTGTGGTGAAGTTGAACCCACTGCAGCAAGCACATAACCTATGATGTAACTTCAGCTGAGATTTGGTTGCTGAAGCCAAGCACTATTTTTACTCTTGTGTCCACCTCTTTCCATGGTGTCTGACTGTTGGGCAGTCCCATAACATATGCATGAGGGCTCCTTTTTCTTTATTACAGCGCCAACAAACATCTGAAGACAGGGCCCCCATCTTGCACAACCTCTGGCACGCAATACATTTTGAATGGAATCTTTTGCTATATCAGGCATAGCTTGAGATCCACAGGACCGTTTTTAACATTCTGTAATATGCCCTGCCACTGGGGATCTTTTAAGGGCTGTGAATCTGATAACTCTCCTTCCCATACTTTCACAAAGAACTTCAGACAAGTGGAGTTCCTCTTCAGTAGTAACGCATACATAGTGGACATAGGCCTGGATAGTTTGTGGAACATTTCTAAAGTACCCAGTAGCTCTGGGGCCTCTGGCAGTCCTACAGCATCTGGACCAAACTGATTTGTTAGCAAGTGTCTTAGTTGCAAGTACTGCTATTCTGTTGAGGGTGGCAGGTCATATCAGAAATGTAGGGTTGGAAGGGACCTCGAGAGGTCAAGTTCATCCTGCAGCCCTGAGGCAGGACCAAGTAAACCTAGCTCATCCCTGACAGGTATATGTCTAACCTGTTCTTAAAAACCTCCAATGATGGTGATTCCACAGTGTCCCTTGGAAGCCTATTCCAGAGCTTAACTACCCTTATAGTTAAGTCTTTCCTAATATCTAATTTAAAATTACCTTGCTTCAGGTTAAGCACATTACATCCACTGAAGGCAGGACAAGAAGTATAGAACAATTGATCACAGTCCTCTTTATAGCAGTCCTTAATATATTTGAAGACCATTATCAGGTCCCTCCTCAGTCTTTTCAAGACTAAATATGTCCAGTTTTTTTAACCTTTCCTCACGAGACAGGTTTCCTAAACCTTTTATCATTTTTGTTACTATCCTTTGGACTCTGTCCAATTTTTCCCCATGCTTCCTAAACTTTGGTGCCCTGAATTGGATACAGTACTCCAGCTGAGGCCTCACCAGTGCCAAGTAGAGCAGGACAATTGCCTCCTGTGTCTGACATACTACTTTTCTGTTAATACACCCCAGAATATTTTCATTTTGCACAGCTGCATCACGTTGTTGACTCGGATTCAATTTGTGATCCAGTGTAACCTCCAGATCCTTTTCAGCAGTTCTACCACCTAGCCAGTTATTCCTCATTTTACAGATGTGCATTTGATTTTTGCCTTCCTAAGTGAAGCACTTTGCACTGGTCTTTATTGAATTTTATCTTGTTGATTTCAGACCAGTTCTCCAATTTAAGGTCCTTTTGAATTCTAATCCTGTACTTCAAAGTGCTTGCAACCCCTTCCAGCATTGTCACCTACAGATTTTATAAGCATACTTGCCACTGTGTTATTCAATCATTAAGGAAAATACTGATTTTTCCAGACCCAGAAATTGCTCCTGCAGGACCCCACTAAATATGTTCTCCTAGTCTGACAGCAAATCTTTGATAACTTTGAGTACAGTCTTTCACCCAGTTGTGCACCTACTTTATAGTAATTTCATGTAGACCACATTTCCCTAATTTGCTTA